TCTTTCTTTTTTTCCCCCCCCTCCCCCCCCCCCCCCCCTCCCTCTCTCTCTCACTCTCCCCCCCCCCCCCCACTCTCTCTCTCTCTATCAGAGCCAGAGGAAGCTCCCACTGGAGTCTCCACAGCCGTGATGAACAGCACCATCAGAGTCCAGTGGAACGAAGCCCAGAACGTCCGAGGTCTGCTGCAGGGATACAAGGTACCAGTTACACAGCAGCTCGGTGCTCTCTGTCGACTCATGGTGACGCAATGATGGACACCAAAATATTGTGTTATTTATTTTAATTTGCACACACATAAGACTGCATGACTTCCAGGTAATGAAAAATAAGAAATGTTGGTCAGATCTACATCAGGAGGTTGGGTCCACGCGGCGGTCGCGTCCGGAGGTCTCTCGGAAAACTGCACGGGGAGAAACATAAAGAGGGCAAGCTGGAGCGAGGGAAGGAGAGCGAGATGGAGAGGAAGTTGGAGGTGGTGGTGGTCAACGGCACGAAGACCTCAGAGGAAGTGACGGGGCTGCAGCTGTATATGCGGTATGAGCTGTCCGTCACCGTCTTCAACAGCAAAGGGGAGAGTCCTCACTCCCCACCGCACCACTTCAGCACCCCAGAGGGAGGTGAGTCCAGAGGAAGAGCAGCTTCAAATGGTGATAGTGAGAGATGTTCTTAATATATAACTGTGTGTGTGTATGTGTGTGTGTGTGTCTTTAGCGCCTGGTCCTCCGGCATCGTTGAGGTTTGAGAGTCCCTCAGAGAAGGTCCTGATCCTCTACTGGACCCCTCCAGATGAAACCAATGGCGTCCTGCTGGGATACAAGGTCCAGTTCCAACAGGGTGAGAGGTTTGATTCTGGTCATTTTCAGTCGCCAGGAAAAACAATGTTATCTTGTGTTTCTGCAAAGGACATGTTGAGTGACAACGTTTTTGCATTCAGTCAGAGCAAGTGGTGGAGTATATGGAGCGACCATTACTGAAAGTTACTCAGTATAAGAACGAGTATAACAAGCGAGGAAGTCCACAGAGAGTTGGCTGGAGAGCGCTGTTTGTGTCCCACATGAAACCAGAACTAAATGTTGACTCTAAGCTTGTATCTTGTTAAGTAACGTAACATGTTTCTACAGGAACCCAGAACGGACAAACGGACTCTTTTTATGTTACCTTCAGGCCACCGTAGCTCACCGACACGGAAAGAGAGCGTTGAGCGAAGGGTGTTCAGTTGGTTGCAATCTGCAGCCTCACCACTAGATGCCACTATATCCCACACACTGCTCCTTTAAAATTGTAATCTGCTAATAATCCCCATTTTTACTTAATGTATTGGTAATCCAACTACGTCTTTTTTTCCTGCAACAGTTATGAAATGCAGTTATCTTTTATTTGTATCCTGAAGCTTAACACCGTTTCATCTTCTATGTCCTTCCCCCTCCAAGCCTGAGTCCGTGCTACTTTCCAGCTCTGCTGATGAAACTCCCTGGTTTGTGTTTTTACCTGCAGAGGTGGAGAGCAAAGACAGCCTGTGGAAGATGGAGACCATCATCGACCCCAGTGTGACTCACTTTGAGCTGGACTCTCTGGACCCCAGCAGCCATTACAACTTCCACGTGATCGCTTACACCGCCGCCGGATACGGACCTTCTATCGCGCGAAGTGGCGCCACCCTGCTGGAAGGAGGTGAAACTGCTCTCCTCTCATTTATGTCAACTTTATTCTCTCTTATTCAATCCCTTGTTCCTGTTTTTTTTGTCTCCTTGCAGTTCCTCCGTCCCACGTCAGCATAGTTCCCAGTAACACGTCGCTCAACCTGAGCTGGGTGCCCGGAGAGCGAGACAGGAACCACGGCTTCGTCATCCGCTACCTCAGGAAGAGTCGTAAGAGAAGGGTGGAGGGAGGAGAGGGAGCAGCTGTTACTGTTCTGCTTAATGACCGCCATCAGAAGAGCATAACCATTATCAGTTAACTGAACACGTGCTCGTAGCTTCATCTATTTGATGAGTCACTACCGCTGTGAGAGGTGGAAACACGTTCTAGATGAAGATGTAGAAATGAAAATGAAAGATGTTTGATGGAAATAAAGAAGAGGAGAAAGAGCAGAGAGTGAGGAAACGTTTACTGATCTGTGACGGTGCTGTGTATGTTTGTGTGTTTGCCACAGCCGGGTGCGAGTGGACGGACTCGGAGGTGGTGAACTCCACGCAGGGTTTCTATTCGCTGACAGGCCTCCAGCCCGGATCCCAGTACCACCTCATGATCAAACACGGGAACGACACTCAGTGGGAAAACACGACGTGGACCGTCGGACCAGGTATTTGTGTGGAAACGTGCACAATCACACCAC